CAACACATTTCTTTGCAACCTCATAGTGTTTGTTCTCACCTAGATTACTACTCAACTTTATTGACTGATGATCTGGTACCTTTAAAAAAAAAGAAATAAAGAAAAATTACAAAATTCATCCCCCAGCCTATGTCATTATTCTTCATAACCTTGATTGTAATTCTGAGGAACATAAACCTAAAATATGGCGATAATACACCAAAGTCATTTAAGTAAAATTAAAATTAAATACCTTGTCTATATTATAAGAACCAGGAAAAATATTACAATAATACTTACTAGCCAGGCCTAGGTGAATTAATTAAGGGGGGGGGGTAAGTAGTTAATAGTACTGCCTCAATGCTAAGGTCCTTGGTCCAATATCTCAGCTATGATGAAAAATATTAAAATTAGGGATGCTGAAGAAAGTTATGCAGGTTGTCTGTATACCTTTGCAAGTCTAAAGTACTTCAAAATAAAAAGTGAGGGGGGAAAGGACAGAGATTTTTTTCCCCTCATAGCACTTTAACACCTTTTACTATAGTATTGACTTACTATATTTAGTGGTTATGGTCCGTCCCCAATGCTCTGAGCCAAAAGTCAGAACTTAGATTATAAATTGCATCTCTGCCACAACAGTGCTCCAAACTAGAGCTAATATGAAAGTTAGATTTAGTTCAAGAAATATTTATTGAATACTTCCCATGTTCCTGGCGTAGTTTTAAGTGATATCTATATACTGGTGAGCAAAAGGGACAAAATTCCAGATCTTTGTAGAATTTAATTTCTAGTAGAGATGAGAGGAGGCAGCCAATAACAAACTAACACAATAATTGGGAATGCTGGAAAGGGGTTGCAATTTTAACTGGAGTGGTCATGATCGGCCTTCTTAAGAATTATGACATTTGAATAAAGACCTAAAAGTGGTGGGGGAATGAGCATTTTATGTTGAAAGAGGAGGCACTAGCAATGCCTTGAGGAGGGAACATGCCAGCATAATTGAGAATTGGCTAGGAGGGCACTGTGGCATAAGCCGAAGGAGTGATGAGGACAGTTGTAGG